CAAAGATAGTAAGATAGATAGTAAGGTAGTAAGATAGGAGATGCAAACAAATGAAATGACACTGTAATTGTAAGGGGATCATCAATAAAAATGCACAAGTAGGGGGAGCAAGCTCATGAACTTGTATGGTGCATTTGAATGTGCTTTTCATATGTTTGCTTGCATGGCACAAGTTTTAAATTTTAATATCCATGCTTGTGTGATATATGCTAGTTGTAAGTTTGAATGATAAAATGAAAATCTAGCATGTATAGGTTATCTAGTGATTTCATTTCCAAGTATTTCCAAGTGGTATCTAGCTAACTATGGTGCTAAGGATGGTATAATGGTGCACTCCGATTGGTATCACGCTTCAAAGGTCCATCTTTTATACCTTAGCATCATTTGGTACACATTGTCTCCTATATTTCCTATCTAAGCATATGTGTAAGCTTTAATCCAAACTCTTAGCACATATGTAGGGGGGGCAATTGCTATCATTTGGAATTCATTAAACTTGTCCATATCCTCTTACACATGGTAAATATGCTTGGGAAAGCAACATGGATTCAATTGAATTTTAATTCATATCTTTGTATGAGGGTTGTCATCAATTACCAAAAAGGGGGAGATTGAAAGCTCTAGTTTGGTTTTTGGTCAATTAATGAAACCCTAAGTGCTAACCTAGTTTATCAAGTGATCATAAGATAGGTAGCACATTCCAAGTGGTGAAGCAAATGAAGATCATAACATGATGATGGTGATGATCAAGTGCTTGGACTTGAAAAGAAGAAAGAGAAAAACAAAAAGCTCAAGGCAAAGGTATAAATTGTAGGAGCTATTTTGTTTTGGTGATCAAGACACTTAGAGAGTGTGATCACATTTAGGTTTCATAGTCGTACTATTAAGAGGGGTGAAACTCGTATCGAAATGCGGTTATCAAAGTGCCACTAGATACTCTAACTCATTGCATATGCATTTAGGATCTAGTGAAATACTAACACCCTTGGAAATATTTGTGAAAATATGCCAACACATGTGCACAAGGTGATACACTTGGTGGTTGGCACATTTGAGCAAGGGTGAAGAAAATAGAAGTGAAAAGGAGTTAGTCACGCTGGTCACAAAGTGACCGGACGCTGGTCTCAGAGAGACCGGCACGTCCGGTCAATTGTAGCAGCGAAGACGCCGGCGTCGGTCTTCGACTGGATGTTGGGTCTCAAACTGACCGGACGCTGGAAGGTTGCGTCCGGTCCTGCTGATGTGGCAGCACAGTGATCAAAGTGACTGACCGGACGCTGGCTGTGTCCGGTCAAGGGCGACCGGACGCGTCCGATCAAGAAAAGTCATCTCTGGGTGCTTACTGGAAACGACCGGACGCTGGGATTCAGCGTCCGGTCACTATATTACCGTTGAGATCGGGCGTACAGAATTTGAAGAGAGGGGACACGTGGCGTGCATCGCACGACCAGACGCTGAGGTCCAGCGTTCGGTCAATATGACCGGAGCGTCCGGTCACCCCGCGTTGTGCCCAGTGAAGGGGTACAACGGCTCTATTCCATGGGGGCTTCTATTTAAGCCCCATGGCCGGTTCAAGCTCACTCTCTTAGCCATTTGCATTGACATAGCAACCTTGTGAGCTTAGCCAAAGCCCTCCCACTCATCTCCATCATTGATTCATCATCATTGTGAGATTGGGAGAGAATCCAAGTGTATTGCTTGAGTGATTGCATCATGAGGCACTTGGTATTAGTGTTTCGCTGCGAGATTCGCTTGTTGCTCTTGGTGGTTGCCACCACCTAGACGTCTTGGAGCAGCGTAGGAGGATTGGCATGAGTTGGTGATTGTTCGTGGCCATCTCCGGTGATTGTGAGGGGACTTGTACCTTCCCCGGCGGAGTGCTAAAAGGTAACCCTAGTGGATTGCTCGTGTTATTGAGTTACCTCACTTGTGTGTAGGTTCTTGCGGTGTCCAATTGTGTGGACGAGGTTCGTGCAACACCTCTTACCCACCGAACCACCGAGTGTTGGTCGACACAACGGGGACATAGCGTGTTGGCAAGCACGTGAACCTCAGGAGAAAATTGGTTGTCTCTTGCCCTTTGGTATTCTCCCGGTGATTGATTAAGTATTCATCTTGTGATTGGTTCACTTCTCTACAAGGCGGTATAATCACCATACTCACTCATTTATATTCTTACAAACTAGTTGTAGCAAGCTCTTTAGTGTAGCTAAAATTGAGAGCTTGCTTTGTAGTTTAAGTTCATCTAGTGGAGCTCTTTAGTGTAGCAAGTGTGAGAGCTCTTCGTGAGTTGTGACATAGAAAATTGTGTGGTTAGTAATTATATCAACTAGAATTGTTGGATAGGTGGCTTGCAACCCTTGTAGAGCTAGAGCAAGTTTGTATTTCGCTATTTGTCATACTAATCAAATTGCTCTAGTTGGTTTGTAGATTTTTAAATAGGCTATTCACCCCCCCTCTAGCCATATTAGGACCTTTCACCCTCCCGATTTAACCCCCGCCGTCCGATCCCGATCCAACGGTCCAGATCTTAAGATACCCCTTCATGGGTCATTTTTGCTAAAGTGTCGCTACAGTTTTCTATATTATAATCCACAGTCCATGATGTAATCCCTGAATACATTTTATTCTTTTGAAAGCATAGTTTCTTCCGGATTAGATTCAAAATACGTTTTCATCTATTTACAGTTTTGCCACTAGTTTCTATAGGTCATAACTTTCACGTTTTACTCTGATTTGACCCGTTCAACTTGCGTTAGGTTAGTAAGTTCATAATCTACATGTTCATACTACTGTTAAACATGTTTTCAACTTTTAAAATTCGAGGTTAGATTTAATCTATTATTTTATTAAAGGAAATCTTGTTTAATCATAACTTCTTCGTTTTAGCTCCGATTTTCGTGATCTTCGCGTCTGTGTGTTCATAGCGAGACGTAGATTCGTTTTACAAACTTTTCATCTTGATTTATGCTATTGGTTTACTGTTCTAATTATAGATTTGTTTTGCTATGCATGATTGCTCATGGATGTTTGTATGTTGCTGTGTTGATCGAGTATAGACGGTGAGCAATTCGTAGGTGATCAAGGGTACTACTTTGACGAGCAGGATCAACAGGAATGCTTTGATCAAGGCAAGTAAAGCATGAGATCATCCTTGTTTCCTATTCACCTTAATACATTTAATTCATGATTGTATGCGTCACCTTGATAAGGATTTCCTAGAATTGGACTTATACCTTGTCTCCTATGGGTTATGCATTGGGTAGCTATGCTAGTGCTCAACTAAACCATGATCTTGTAACTTGACTAATGATATATGCAATAAACGTTAAAACATGACTTTTTAGCAACTTGGAAATATGGGGCTGGAGTATTTAGCTACATTCTAAATGCTCTAGATTCCTCTCCCTAAGGACTTATCTGTAAGTGATCATCCGGGACTTATAGTACAACTGTTAGGGCTACATGGCTCTAGCTTTAGTCATATAGAAGGACCTTTTCTAGCTTGTTAGTGGTTACCTTTATGGCGCAAAAAGGGCTTGAGACGATGGGTATATGACAGCCTCTAGTCCTATGTGTATAGCCGTGATGGAATTGTGCCATTCGAAAAGGGGGGTTCCTACATCTGCTTGCCAAGAGAATCCTAGCGGCCCTAACTTGTTAGACGAACCTTGGAAAGACTTCATAGTGAACCCTGCCTGCTCACCTTAGTAGTGTTTTGGGGAGTCATGACCCTGGGCATATGGGAATCACGACTCACAGTGAAAGTGTATAACCTCTGCAGAGTGTAAAACTGGTATATCAGTCGTGCTCACGGTCACGAGCGGCCTTGGAACCCTTATGGAATAGATGATCACTCTTATATCACTTGTTTATGCTATTCATTAATCATGTTTACATTGATCATGTGTTTACTTTGGGATTATGATAACTTGATGCTACTCTTATGCTAAAATTTGTGACAACTAAAAGCTAAATGCTGTTAAACCTATGTCAAGCTTTTTGGGCCTCATGAACCCCATGTTATCCTTGTTGAGTACAACATGTACTTACGCTTGTTTATTTTCATTATTTGGATAAAAATCCTGGATGGGTACCAGATTGCTAGAGTCTAGAGGAGTTAGACTTGTGATCAACCAGTCAGTTGTCCCTGTGGATTTGGAGCCTTCGCCTAAAAAATTGGAGTTTTCATTCCGCTGTCTACTATCTAAGGTTGTATTCTTTGTATTAATATGCTATGTAATTAAGCATTATGTTTTGATATCACACTTATTTGTAGCTATATGTGAGATTTGACTTCCTGGGCTCACATATGGTGTGTATCTAGTTTTGTTCTTAAAATCGGGTGCTACAGCCATTGTGTGCTTAGAGATCATAGACACTAGAATTGTGGTAGGTGGCCTACTTTTTAGTAGGCTAGTGCAACACTCGCTTCGCCGTTTAATTGTCTAACATATTTGCTAAGTGTTGTTGTAGAAATTTTCAATAGGCTATTCAACCTCCTCTAGCCATTAGGACCTTTCACTGAGACAAGCAAGGGAACGAGAACCCAAGCGAAGAGACAAAGAGTGAAGGCTTGATTCTCAACTGAGGGCTGAAGATGAGACGAGCGCGCACGGCTCCCCCGCCTCGGGGGCTTATATAGGCACCTCCCGTGTGGAGCACGAATCGAGGAAACGATGCGATGGTTCGCACAACCGCCGCGATGGTTCGAATTCCCAAGAACAGTTACATGGCACGATAACCGAAATAGTTACACAGCACGATAAACAAAAAAATCAACGGTTCGGTTCTTCGCCCTTCGCCGGGGACGGTGTCCGGGCCCCATGGCGCATCAATCCCATAACTCTGCAAGGCAATCACACTCAGTGCAAAGAGCCTCCTCGTGTGTTGTCGTGGGGCTACTGTTGGGGGCAAGCCCACTAATGGGCACCCCATGGGGCTCATCCCCCGCCCTATTCGCTCATTAATAGCGCAGGTTGTGTCGCGCGTAGGCGAAAATGACGGGCGCCAAGAACGTAATGCAACATTTCGCCCAGATGAAAAGTCAGGCATGGTACATCCATTTTGTTAGGGCGGAATGAGGACGGTGTAAGCCGCGTGGTGTCAGGCCACGCCCTGAATCGATTCCCCTTTTTTGCCTTGGCAGAATGGCGGGTCAAACCGCAAGGTCCACCCAAGCCCCGTGACTGACTGAGCACCATTCGCATTGGCGAAATGGACGGAGCGGCTCGGATCCACATGGTCAGGGGTGTGGAAATAGAGCAAACTATTCATTCAGGCGAATAGGCGTTGGTAATTCGTTTGATCGTTGTTGCAGGTTTTCGTCAATAAAGGGGTCACCTGCTCTCGCACGGTCGACAGCTCCTGTCCACCTGGGGCCCACTTGGTCGGTTGGAAGGGCGACAAGAGGCGAGGCTGGTCAGTTTTCCCGAGCCGGCGCCACCTAAGGAAGACGGGGACTTCGATTGGTGAGCAAGCCCACGACAACAGAGAATATTCTCCGGATATTGTAGTAGTTGTAGGGGCAGCTTTGTCCTATGAAAATGCCTACGGGCATGTATAAATAGCCTCCGTGAGGGGAATGTAAAAGGGGGAGAAACAAGCTCAATGAAATCGTTCATCTTGTTTCGCTCAAGTCCTACTTTATCTACTTCTCGTGCCTGATTTCGCTTGAGTGACCGTGGCCTAGAACAACAATACTGATCGCCATTAAGAGTAATCATTGGTTAGAGGCAGTCGGCTTGCCTGCATCAGAAAATGAAAAAACACCCATCTCTAAAAATCGTCTTTGTAGTAGTGTGGACTCCATTCTATATTGTCGACCCTTTAGTTTCTTGTAATTGTGAGAAAGACACGCACTAACGCAAAACACAAACCCATCACATTCACACCACAATATGTGCACTCCATATTACAAACATAGGGACATGCATGCAGACGCTGAACGCACTCATGTGCCTGTAAATAGGTGGACATCTCAGTTTGTACATCAGTAATGAAATCCTATTTCCACAACTTACCTCCCAGGATGATTGTTCTGTTTGTCGACCAATTTCGGAAAATATGACAAGTACAAAGCAAGGAAACACAAATCTGGCTTTCAAATGGCCCCAATAACTCAATAAAGGAACCAAATTCTTGTATGCAATGACGAACTTGTCTCTGTATTAAGCCTCTAAGTGATGCATATCTGAAAGAGAATATACACAAGATATAATACCCCGTTCGCTTGAGCTATTTTTCAGCCATAGAACAGTGTTTTCCTCTCATAACATTCAGCGTATTTATCAGCATAAATCAAATTTCAGTAATACGAATTAATGAAACATCGATATTATATACAACAAGATAATTCCACTGTCGTAGAAATGCAAGCCACTAAAGCACATCCTAATCGATAAGAACAGCCAGTTGATTTTTAATAATACTTAAAGCACTGAACCACATCCTAATCAGTGGGTTGTTCCTGAAAGCAACGTTTGGTAGGAGTGGTAGGACCCGGCCGGTTCCACCCACAAGGCATCGAACATCATTGGCGCTTGCACGTGCAGAGAGAACGTGCCGATGGCGACTGCACCAGCAGGACCCGGTTGGTGTGGCCCGTAGACTTTGCCAGGTCTTGATCCTAGACAATTCAAGATATTTTTTAGCTTACGATTACAAAATGGGAGTTGGGTGCAGAAGACTTGGCCCACAAATTAAAAAGAAAGAAGTAGAGTACGCAATGAAAGACTGTGTAGGTGCTGTCATGCATCTCCAAGTCATGGAATCTTCGCTTCCCATCGTCCGTCGTCGTCCCACCCTCGCCTCACCATCACCAGTGAGCTCCGACTCCAAGCGTGAGAGGCCTTGCTAATAGCTCTCACGGCACATCTGCGACTGCGATCAACTGCAGGTGCGTGCGTAGTACGTGTACTTCCTTGCAACTCATGCCTTAATTTGTTTGTTTGTTGTTCTTAATTGGTCACGGCTTCAACGGGTCGTGTCTGCAGATCGACTCTGCTCTAGCACTGCATATATATCACGGTCAACATTAGTTCACCGTACTGTATCTCCGATATGATTTCAAGATCACTGTCCTTTCGCCCTTGATTGCAAACCGTAGCTGTCGTGCAATTAGGTTGACTTAATTAACACCAGAGGTTCAGATTCAGGTTCTGACTCTTGAGTCTGTCCAGCCTACCTTTCTGTTACTTGATTCGGTATCAGTGTCTCGAATAAATCCTAAACTTGCCGTGAACTTCGACTTCGCCTGCTGGATTTGGGTACTTACGATGGTCCGCGGATCAGACGTGGTACTGGTCTCATCTCTCATGACCTTAATTAGAGCCGGCATGAGAAGTAGACTTGAGGGGGTTCTTGTTCTTCCGTCGTTATCAGCCGACAGCCACTGAACGAATGGCTTCTAGCTATGCTTGTGCTAATAAAGTTTTATCATCTTCGACCAATCCATCATGTCTACTGGTCTGGTTCCTGAAAGAAGGATGTCCTTTGCTGTCCTACTCCTGCGTCATCCACTCATCCGGTGCCCCATGCCTGCTGCGCCTGGTCGACGAAATGCGCCGCCGAGATCAATGGGCTACGGCTGCGCGCCGGCACGGCCAAGTGCGGCAGCGGCGCGTGCGTCGATGGGAAATGGATACATGACAGCGTAGAGCCGGAGATGCATGCATTTCTCTTACCCTAACCGCGTTTCTTACCTCTGCACTTCTCGCTGCCTGCTCACCTCCTCCTTCCCCTTGTTTAATGCCTCAGGTTTGCCGGATTCATCCCCCCGTTCCGCTCTGGGATAAGGTTCCAGCAGGTGCGCATTGGCTTGTCAAACGAGCCAACACTATCACTGTTTTTTGTGGATGTAAATGAGATAATTTTGATGGACATTAGGGACCATGTTCTCAGCAATCCTATTGGGCTAGTTTTATGCTCTCTGTCAGACACGTTGACTTCAATTTTCCTGATCGCATATCAAACTGAGTCTAGGCACTAGGCAGGGAGCAACTTCAGGAAACGTCGCCCTGAATCTGAAACTAGCACGGACATCAATTGATGGTCCTTCCATCGTTGCCCGAATCTGTTTAACCTTCAGAAAATTTGGAAGCAAATAAACATATATGTTACAATTGAGGATGTCTAGAAAATGGGGTAGCAACTGGATCTTCTGTCCAAGTGTCCCGCGTCCTGCCAGTGGCTCTTTATATGGTTTTGCGTTGTTATGACCCGTTGGTTGCGCAATGTTTCATTTATACTATATGCTGATTATTGCTACATGTCTTTTTATAGATAGATTATGTCTAAAAGAGTAAGTACGTAGTAGATTCACTATTTTAATTACCTCTTCAGGAAAATGAGTGAAACATCTCTCTTCTATGCCAAATTATATTTGATGAGGTCCATTTAGCCATTTGGGAATTGCATATGGTACTGATACATGTTACCTGCATGTGCAATACATTATACTTTAAAGTTTCCTGTCATATAAGCTTTAAGTTTTGCCGAGACAAAGCTCCATTTGCTAAAAAAAATAATAAGGCAGAATAGAATCAACAAGAACAGGGGAATTGTTTTTTTTAACTTATGAGTGACTGCATGAATTCAGCTGCTATCTTTCAATTTAAATTTGCTTTACCTACAATATGACCTGCTGTCTTTGTTGTTCAGCTCAAACTTATGGCAGAAGCAGTGCTCCTTGCTGTCACTAAGATTGGTTCTGTTCTTGGAGATGAAATTGCCAAGGCCATTATAAATAAGCTGTCTGAAAAAGTTCAAGCTCTGAAGGAACTCCCACGTAAAGTGGATCAAATAAGGATGAAACTGACAATCATGAGCAAAGTTATACAGCAGATTGGCACAGTCTACCTTACAGATGAGCTTGTCAAGAGTTGGATTGGGGAGGTCCGGAAGGTGGCTTACCGTGTTGAGGATGTAGTAGACAAATACTCATACCATCTTCTTCAACTAGAGGAAGAAGGGTTCCTGAAGAAATATTTCGTCAAGGGTACCCACTATGTCCATGTTTTCAGTGAAATTGTTGCTGAGGTAGCGGAGATAGAAGGGGAGATTCAGCAAGTTATTCAGTTGAAGGATCAGTGGTTGCAGCCATCCCAGCTTGTCCCTCACCATGACCAACTCGCTGAGATCGAAAGACAGCGTTCCCAAGACAGCTTCCCAGAATTTGTCAAAGATGAAGATCTAGTAGGAATTGAAGAAAATAGAAAACTGCTGACTGGATGGATTTACTCAGAAGAGCAGGCTAGCACAGTGATAACAGTTTCTGGTATGGGTGGACTGGGAAAATCTACACTGGTTACAAATATTTATGAACGTGAAAAGGTCAACTTCCCGGTACATGCTTGGATCGTTGTGTCACAGATCTACACAGTCGAGTCTCTGCTGAGAAAGCTACTCTGGAAGATTGGGCATATGGAACCACCAGTGCCAAGAGATATTGACAAAATGGATGTACATGACTTGAAGGAAGAAATAAAGAGAAAACTCCAAAATAGAAAATGCTTGATTGTATTGGATGATGTTTGGGAGCAAGAAGTATACTTCAAAATACATGATGTTTTCCAGACGCTCCAAGAAAGCCACATCATCATTACAACACGAAAGGACCATGTTGGTGCTATTGCTTCCTTTGGCCACCATCTTGAGCTCCAACCGTTGTGTGGACCTGATGCATTTGAGCTTTTCTGTAGAAGGGCTTTCCACAGCAAGAAGGACCACAAATGCCCCGAGGAGCTTCAGGAAATTGCTGGTGAAATAGTGAAAAGGTGTCATGGCCTGCCGCTAGCAGTTGTTACAATCGGCAGCTTGTTGTCATCAAGACCACAAATAAACATTTGGAATCAAACATACAACCAGCTTCGGAGTGAGCTGTCAACCAATGATCATGTCCGAGCAATCTTAAATCTAAGCTACCATGACCTATCTGGAGACCTCAGAAACTGCTTCTTGTATTGCAGCTTGTTTCCTGAAGACTACCCCATGTCACGCGAAACCCTTGTGCGGCTTTGGGTTGCAGAAGGTTTTGTTCTGAGTAAAGAAAAGAATACACCAGAGGAGGTGGCTGAGGGAAATCTCATGGAACTGATCCACCGTAATATGCTTGAAGTTGTAGACTATGATGAGCTTGGCAGGGTTAGCACTTGCAAGATGCATGATATCATGCGGGACCTGGCACTTTGTGTTGCCAAAGAAGAGAAGTTTGGTTCTGCAAACGAGTATGGTGAACTGATACAGGTGGACAAGAATGTTCGTCGCTTGTCCTTATGTGGGTGGAATGTTAATGCGGCACCTAAGGTTAAATTTCCATGTCTTCGAACTCTTGTGGCTCAGGGAATAATTTCATTCTCCCCTGACATGATTTCCTCAATTATGTCTCAATCAAGCTATTTGACAGTTCTTGAGCTGCAAGATTCTGAGATCACTGAGGTTCCAACATTTATAGGAAATCTCTTTAACCTTCGGTATATTGGGTTAAGGCGCACCAAAGTCAAGTCACTCCCAGAGTCCATTGAGAAGCTCTTCAACCTCCACACTCTGGACATCAAACAAACTCAAATAGAGAAACTACCACGAGGGATTGTTAAGGTCAAGAAGCTAAGGCACCTTTTGGCTGACAGGTTTGCTGATGAGAAGCAGACAGAGTTTAGATATTTCATCGGAGTGGAAGCACCGAAAGGTCTGTTGAACCTGGAAGAACTACAGACTCTTGAGACAGTGCAGGCGAGCAAAGACTTGGCTGAACAGCTGAAGAAACTGATGCAGCTCAGAAGCATATGGATCGACAATGTTAGTGCTGAAGATTGCCCTAATCTTTTTGCGACCCTTTCGGCAATGCCACTTCTTTCCAGCCTCCTAATCTGTGCAAGAGATGTGAATGAGACACTTTGCCTCCAAGCCCTTGCGCCGAAATTTCCCAAGCTCCACAGACAGTGGCGGATCCAGGAAATATTTTAGGGGGGGCTGAACAACACTGCTACTCGATTTTAAGTCTCAGCCCCCCCTACACTATAGAACTTTGACTAAAAATTCATAGGGACTCTACAGTAATTTGCACTGTTTCGGGATGGGTAGGGGGGGCTTGAGCCCCCCCCGCCCCACTGCTGGATCCGCCCCTGTCCACAGACTAATTGTAAGGGGGCGCTGGGCTGATGGGACACTGGAGTATCCAATATTTCGCAACCATGGGAAACATCTAAAATATTTAGCGCTTAGCTGGTGTCAGCTTGGTGAAGATCCACTGGGGGTCCTTGCTCCACACGTGCCAAACCTCACTTATTTGAGCTTTAACAGGGTGAATAGTGCAAGCACTTTGGTTCTTTCTGCAGGGTGCTTTCCTAACCTGAAAACACTAGTCCTGAAGAAAATGCCTAACGTCGAGCAGCTGGAGATTGGACATGGTGCTCTTCCATGCATCGAAGGTCTGTACATCATGTCCCTAGTGCAGCTGGATAAGGTCCCTCAAGGCATCGAATCGCTTCTCTCCCTCAAGAAGCTTTGGCTTCTGTACCTGCACGCGGAGTTTAGGACTCAGTGGCTGACGAATGGGATGCACCAGAAGATGCAGCATGTTCCAGAGATTCGCGTCTAGGACAGGGGACAGCCAGATGGTTATTTCTGCAGTACTATGCTTGTATGGTGTCTGTGAAAGAACTATGTTTTTTGTACTTTTTAATCCCTTTTTCGTCCATTAAGTCATGAATTGTTGTTATATCTGGATTTTACTTGCAGAGGCTAAACGCTTGCCTTGTGTATTTTCGTTGTGTTGGTACAGTTGCTTTAAGAATAATTGTTGGTTCGAGACATTTGCCTTCTGTATTGACTTCACGCAAATGATGTTATGATCAAACTTGCATCTCCATGTATTTTGAAATTTTTACATGCCTTATATGAGAGTGGGAGAAAATCATATTGGTGATACATTGGCTTGGCTGCAGAATGCTGACTGGTGTTTATTGACCATTTTAAGTTTAGGGGAAAGCTTCAGCTCTTCTGCTCTTCTATTGAAATATAATGCTGACTTTTTTGTTTGAAAAATCTATCAAAATGGTACAAAACAGCGAACGCGTGTACAGCGTGGTGGTTGCATCTCCGGCTGTGGAGTGCGCCCACCCGGGTTCGACTCCCTTCGGGAGCACCGGATGTCGCGTCTGGGGATTACTAATCCCCAGGTTCTGGACATTTAGCGTGCCGCTATAATGGATCTATGACATTTGTGTCTCTAGGTTCTGGACATTTAGCGTGGCGCTATAATGGAACTATGACACTTGTATTATGTATAGGTTGTAGGTTCTAGGGGTATGATAGTTTCTTCGAAAGGACGCTTGTTGTGTATAGGTTGTAGGTCTTGGGTGTGAGTTGTGTCGAGCTCAGAAACTACAACTTGTATACTTAGAAGTCTAAACTCAAAAAAAAAAAAACGGTACGAAACAATAGGATAATGTTGAGTTCATGTACCTCACGCTACCATTTTTTTTTCCAGACGGTGCTTGTAATCTAAGTAGCGGTAGTCTATAATATTCTCTCCATTCCAAATTATAAATCATTTCAATTTTAAAGAAAATTATAAAGATTTATGACATTTAATAGCTAAAATATAATTAATAAAGAATATAATGGTACTTATTTGATATCACAAATATTATTATTTTATTATATAAATTTGGTCAAACTTTAGATTCTTTATTCTCTAAGAAAGTTGGGATGATTTATATTTTGGGATGGAGTGAGTAAGAAATATAGAAATTTCAATATTGGATTCTCATTCATATTAAAAAAAATGTACGTTGGGCTCTCTAGTGTTGCAACTGCAGCTACCAGCCTTGGATTCTGGGACTGGGGACTTGCGCGGTTGCGCCGCCGTCAGGTCTCTTCACCGCCTGCAAGCTCTGCACCTGTAGTTGCCCCACAGCAAAGTAAATTTCAGGAGTCGAGACGGACTGACGGAGGAGGAGCTCTATAGCATTGGATTTGGAGAAGAAACCCTCAAATCAAAAGGGGCTGTCGAAATCAGAGTAGGAGACGACGGTGAGGGGCGTCGGCGCGTCGCTCGGTGGCGGCGACATTACGCGCACGGAGGAGGAGGAAGTCGCAGGGACGATGGGGCGAGCCACTGACATGATGCAGGCACAGAGTTAGGACCTGATTTTTCGTAGTCCGCCGCCGCCGGGATGGGAGCAGGGGACTGCAACCACAGGCGGCCAAGCGTGCCGCATCGCACCGACGCTGAATCCCTATGGTTTTGAACTCAGGTGATTGCCCACTCCCATCTCTGATCTCTCCAGTTTGATTCCTTTTGCGTTGGTTCCAATCAAACACTACTGAAGCGAAAACCATCTCCCAAATGAACAGAACAAATCTCCAACCCATTGCACCAAATGAACAGAACAAATCTCCAACCATCATTGGCGGCTTTACCCCAGAAAAGGACAATGTTTTCCAATTTCGTTACTTACTCATGATTATGTTGCCGTGATTAGTAATCCGTAGAAGGTTTCTAGCGTTTTTTTTTGTCACATCACGATCCTCTTGAGTAAATCATCAAATGAACCATCTTCATTTATTACATATTCTAAGGGGAAAGAGAGAGAGTTCAGACATGCAGCAATGTGCAGGTCTGCAGGAACGAATCCTGGTTTACATACCATTGTCCTGAGTACTAAATTCACTCATTCATATACGATGGAAAAAGGATTATAACCATGACTCAAGAGTGGAGTCATTTAGGCAGTAAAATAAACTTATTTGATTAGATAGTTTAGTGATCCATAATGGAGGAGATTTAGTGACTGCATCAGGAGCACAGTTTAGCTGGTGTCCACATAAATAGCTTGTCCTTTTTATTCCACCGATCAGGAAATGGAATATTCTTCACCGTTGTCTGACAAACCGAAGTAGCAACTCTACCCACTAACAAGAATCCTCAACTGAATGGTTCACCTCATGCTGCAAAACAGAAATAGACATCATAAAACAATAGCGACTTATCTTTGTGTAAAAGTACAACGAGAAATTTGTAGTATTTTTTATTTGGGAAAATCGGTACTGTAGCACCAAAAGAACTCCGCTTCCGTAAAATACCATTGAAAGACGTTCGCCACGTAAAATACCACCGAAAGATAGCACCGTTACCTCTATCTAGCATTCCGTCACGGCAACAACGTTGTGAAATCCACCTCCAAATGTCTGATAGAAACAAACGCTGGGTCATACTCCTGGTCCTCCTCGGTTCGATGTGGAGCGCCAGAGCACCCAGCTCATGCCCCTCCTCGCTGCCGACGGCGGATGCTCAAGCAGAATTCCAAAGTTGTCGCAGGGTCGCACGAGGTGGCCGTCGAGGTGCGCGGCAAGCTGGTTACAAGCGAGACACGGTGCGGCGAGTGCGGATTGGCAGCGACAGCAACAACCTCACCGGCCGACATGGGTAAGGATGGACCTCCGGAGGAGGCGGCCAAGGCCAAGAATTTGGCGCCGGCGCTGTAGTCGTTCGCATCGGTGTTCGCGGACGTAGCGGACGTGGTGCTCATGGTTCTTGCAACTTGTGAGCTCTTGCGTTCTCGACGGACACCAGCTGCACCTGAACGAGCGCTGCCTCTTGGCCCGCACTGCCGCAGCTGGCAGCGAAGCTACCCCCTGCGTGCGCCCCTAGCCCAAGGACGACGCCACCGCATGGCCCGCCTTGAGCGTGAGGCCGACCACACTCGTGGACCACAATTATCAGCACGGTGCATGCCGCTCCGTCGTGCCCCCAGCATGCGTGCGCAAGCAAACCGCCAGCGGCGGCATTGGCACCGGTGCATGCGTGCAGCGCGGGCCGGCTCACCTAGGAACGCCATGACCCAGTTGCCGAGCGCCAAGAAGACGAGATTCCGCGTGTTCTATTAGTCGAGAAGCAGGAGAGGAGAGGAAGTTGAAGATGCGGCTGGTGATAAAGAGCATCACGGACGTGGACATGCCGTCGCCTATTGCGCCCACCAGGCCCAGCACCATGTACTACGTTCGCGTGCATGAACACCGGCGAATGACGGCATCGCCGGCGCCGAATACTTGGCCTTGGCCGCCTCCTCCGGAGGTCCGTCCTTACCCATGTCGACCGGCGAGCTAGGTCGTCGCTGTCGCTGCCACTCCGCACTCGCTGCACCGTGTCTCGCTTGTAACCAGCTTGCCGCACTCCTCGACGGCCACCTCGTGCGACCGGCGACAACTTTGGAATTCTGCTAGCATCCGCCGTCGGCAACGAGGAGGAGCATGAGCTGGTGCTGGAGCTCCACATCGAACAGGGGAGGACCAGGACCCAGCGTTTTTATCTTTCAGGCGTTTGGAGGTGGATTTCACGACGTTGCTATCCCACCGTGACAGAATGCTAGATAGAGGTAACGGTGTGTCTTTCAGTGGTATTTTACGTGACGAACGTCTTTCAGTGGTATTTTACGGAAGTGGAGTTCTTTCGGTGCTATAGAACCAATTTTCCCTTTTTATTTTCTCATGTCTTTTATTTGCAGTTATTCTGTCATAGTACTACAAAATCCAGGTAGCTACAAAGATAAATTTCTAATTCTAGAATAATTGTTTTACAAGACTAAAACAAGAATTCCCACTTATACATTATTTGTTATTTCTCATAAGGGGCAGGATTACAATTTGCACATGAAGTCGGATATTCCTAACCTTCATTAGGAAACAAGTAGCCCAAGCCCCTATCCCTAAACCCAAACAAGTAGTGGGTGTTTTGGAAAACAAAACAGTGGCAATTACAATGGATACAAATGTATGGTGACTTACAACTTAGGCCTTGTTTGAATGCGCATGTATTCATCTCAATCCACATGTGTTGAAATGGATTGGAGTGGAATTGAACTAAATTTTATTCCATTCCACTCCAACACATATGGATTGAGATGGATACACATGCATCCAAACAAGGCCTTAATAGTTTCGTTAACATTATTTGGTGACATTAGGTTGCAAAGGTAGCTCACATCACTACTGAATACCCAATGCAATTTTTTTGAAGGAATTAACCAATGCAACTTCTATGAACGTTATGGTTTTCTTTTATGCCAATGATCATGGTTTTGGATAGGAAACACAAGACCAATCGAGAAGAAGTGTTCAGGAAACAAGAACTAAGTTGACAGTACTCAGTAGTCAGTACAAAGCACAAGTAGTAGTATTTTGCTCCATATCACAGATGTGTTTATGTTCTTGTTCGTTAGAGTCCACATGGTCAAACTCTGAAATCTGACCATTTGTTTGTTTGGAACTATCATTCACAGGATGCAGATTAACTATACAACTAAATTTCCTAAGAGAACTACTACGATAATATTTCATTTTCAAAATTACAGGTAATATAGACTTACAAAAATATGTTTTCTATCCTTTACATCAATGATTGCCAAAAGCAAATAACATCGAGGAAAAGAACAGAGAAAAATTTAACTGTTCCCCAACTAGATAAGCATGATTTGTAAGGTTTAGATTCCTCTACCTGTTTTTGTAAGGTTTTTGTGAAAGCAAATAATAACTTCTTGCAACTAATACTCAGTCACAAATAAGTGATTGTTTTGGCTTAGTTCTGTCAACTATTTC